GTTTTGCTCTTTTATTTTTGATTAAAAATATACAAAGAGAAATCTTCAGGAAAATGATTTGGTTTGTAACATTCTTGAGATTGACATTTGAAACGCCTGGAGACGTCTTTGAACAAACACATGCCACAACATTCCTAGCGATATCATTTTGTTGTTCCAATTATTTTTTATAAATATCAAGGTATATTTATCAAGACAATTATCGTAAAAAATATCATAATAGTTATCGTTGATAACTATCATCAATGATAATTATCACTTTGAACCCTACTATTAGCTACGTTATTGCAATACATTTTCATTCGACATTGCATGTCACAAATTTACAAAACAAGGGTTAAATTGAATGCAGCCAAATGGTGTGAAGATAACGTCAATTAAATGATCCTTGGTGCGGTATTTAAGAAACAGTCAAGTGACATCACCCGGGAGTGCCTTCGGTCTAGACAAATTATTTGGTAACCGATTGTTTCGCCATACGATAGCTTTACGAAACTCTTCTTTACTACTTGACTCTGCATATTTGACGAGTTTTGTTACGACTATTTTTATATTGTCAAAAAGTATATGAAGTGTTTATACAATATTTCTTATTAATTCCGTTGAGACTTTTTATTATCTCTCACCTTTTATTATGTCTCACGGCCGGGCACGGGTCTTCTCTAAGGAGACGGTTTAGGACTTTACGCATTTTCCAGGGGTAGTGAACATTTTTCGACGTACAGGTTTTATCACGTTTTTCTTCGCCGTTAGCGAAAGATGTACAATTAAAGTTATAGATACGTGCCCGCCACTGAGACTCGAACTGTTGACCTGTCTATTGAAAAGCAACCGCTCTCCAACTAAACTACTACCGCTCCGTTAATACTCATAACGTGAATTATCTCTTTTATATTTCTATATAAAAGAGACCATTTTTTTATTATTGTTCCACAGTTTAAGAAAAATTGGAACAATGACAATATTGACATAATATGTAGATATTAATATCTACATATTATGTCCATATTTTGTCATTAGTTATTATCTAACTTAAGTTAGATAATAACCACGTAGTCAATTAGAATGTCTCTCAACTGTTAACGCCCATCTCCAGATGACAAAATAATGTTTTGTCGATTGATCTCCTAATGACAGTCCAACTGAGGATTCGAAAATGACACAAGCGTCGAGCAAAGGGTCGGTAACATTTGTTAAATTGCGTTTATTTAAGTTTTTTAATTTAAATTTCAATAAAAATGCCTTCGTGTTTATTTAGAAAATACACTAATTACCATATTGTAATAAAATAATGTTTTGCAATTTTTTTAAAATACTAAATAATGGGACGTAAAGTCACGCGCCTGGTGGCAAGCGACACGTAACAGTTGCATTGCCACTCAGAGCTTTAAATCGCAAAGATGTTATGGGCACTGCCACTGCGCCTGTCATCCTGAGACATAAGTTGACAAGTCCTGTGTACCTATAATTTCACCAGGATCCTTATTATTCTCTTCTAAAACGGAACACAGTCATGCTGACATTTCTGCTTGGCGGCAGAAATAGGTAAGGTGGAAGTACTTCTCTGGACAAACTCTTTCACAAGGAGCTCTACAGCTACTAAAAACGAAACTATCCATGATATTGAACAACTTTCCTTACATATTCATTACGCACGTGACGAACTCGGTAATTTTTTTTAAAATCTTTGAGTAAAAATTTTAATAATCAAATAAACGTGTTCAATGTCATAGAACTTCATATTCCAAAGTATTATTAGTCACTATTATTGATACAAAGATCGAACAAACTCAAGAGAAATTCCTTCGTTCCGACTGGACTCGAACCAGCGTCAGTTGCCTCAATGTGGTTACCGTTAAGCCAGCAGATCTTAGAGTGCTAACAGATCTGGTGAATGCGCTGCACGCATTCAATTAATTAACAGCAGTAGAGCTCCTTGTCAAAGAGTTCGTCCAGAGAAGTAATGCCACCTTACCTATTTCTGCTGCTAATCAGTAATGTCATCATTACTGCGTTCCGGTTTAGAAGGGTGTTGGTGAAATTACAGACACATGAGACTTTTACTGCGATGACATTACAATTTAAATTCAACGTCTTAGCTTTTTCATATTCCTTTACATGTCACTACGTTTAAATAGGTTGACTTGGGACATTTTCTTCGTGGTTTTTTTTGAGCCGTCGTCCATTTATTTGTAAGTCAATGTGGTAGAGGCACAGATCGCACAACGTAATGCAAGTGTGCAGCTCGCGAGCCTTTTGCAAGCGGGCGCATTCGCCAGCTTTGTACGCACCTTTACAAATTTCTCTATGTGCTTATTGTGGATCTTTGTGTAAGGTTTTTAACGGCTTTTTAGCTTTATAGCTACAGTTTACTTAACACATACTAGAACATAATTGTCATAATTTTGTGTTTAAAATACCTTTACGACGAAGAAATAACTACCAAACCCATGATTTTTGTAAATGTTGATATCAAACGTTGCGAAACTTTGTGTGCAACAGTTAACATGACTTTACGAGTCAAGGTCTACACATCGCGTAAAACGAAATTAAAATTACAAATTCAAAACTTGAACAAGAATTTCATTAAGAAAATACTTAAACCGTAACGAAAACGTGTGTAGCTTTATTTTACTTCGTAAACCTTGTAACATCCATTAATGTGAACTTTTGACTAGGCACAAAAAACAGAATTACTAGAAATAAAGATATGACAATCTATTATTAAGTATACCTTTATAACTTAAAACGGGTATACAAATTATATTTTAAACTTCAATTGCCCGATATTGCGCTTGTAAAGTAAAAAAGAGATTTTATCCAAAAACGAATAAAGAGGTTTTCGATGACATTTGTTAAATCATATGGTTCTCTTTATAATAGCTACGTCGCAAATCAGGAAAATTTAACCAGTGACTGTCTAAGTAGAAATAGGAATATGTCTAATACGAAATAACTCCTCGGAGAGTGTTCAAGGGAACTCCCTTGAACACTCTCCGAGGAGTCATTTCCGGACGCAGGATTTAATGTTATACTAAATCTATGGCGTTTATATATGAAAATAAACAAAAGTCAGTATTATTCGCGTTCTTTATTCTTTTGGCAACTGCTCTATTCATAGTGCCTTATTCCTTTTTTGTGAGGATGTATAAGGTGTGGCATCAAACAATTGAATAATTCATACTTACCGGCATTATACATTTGCCTACGTACAACAAAAGTTTCTTCATTTGCCTTGTGAAAAAAGCACAAACTTAAAGAAAGCTTGTTTATTTCAGAAAATAACACTACCGTCCTTATCTTAACTAACGTAATCTACATTTTTAGCGAAATTGAGTTATTTAATCTGGAATCAGGAAAATGAGTTCTAAAACCCCCAAAAACCGTTTTTTTAAATTCATTAATTAGTTTTAGTTTTAGAGTGGTTACACACGGCGACTTTTAGCAGGGATCAAACGCGCGTTCGTGAAACGCGCGATTGCATCGCTACACTTGCGATTTATAGACGATTGCATCGATTCAAACGCGCGACTTCATCGAT